GGGAACTTCTTGAGTTCAAGGTTTCTGTGGGATATCCAAGGAAATAAGATGTGTATTGGGCACTGGGCATAGTATCTAGAATTCCCAACATTAGTGTCAATTGTTGACCATGGCACAGAAAAGACAAATGGAAATACTCTTTACAGAAGCCAGCATAGTTTAAAATGCAGTGTCACATAATGAAAAGAACTCATGGGATTTAGACAGACCTGAGTCTGAATCCTGCCACATACCACCTGTGAGATATTAAGACAACCACTCTGAGCCTCTTAGTTGTCGTGTGTAAAATAGTAGTATTAATACCTATCTAGCAGGCTGGTGTTAAAAAGTGAATGAGGTTGTGTGTGTAAAGCACTAGCACAGTGCCTGGCACGTGGTAGATGTTTAATTAAAATTTCTTTTCTTTGATGCTTATTCATGGGTACTTAAGTTATGAAAATATCCATTTCTTGGAGGGACAAGAAAAGAAGAAGAGGGAGCCCTGACAGAGAGAGCATGGTATCCACAAGCCAGAAAGGGGAACGGGGCACCAGCAATGTGAGTTCTCTGGGAAGGAGGCAGAGACACGAGGGAGCTGATCTATGGATGGGCACTAAAAGCAACTCTCTACTTCATGGCTTTTTGAGGGTGGGAGTTCAGGACTACAGTCCTGTAGACAGGTAGTTAATTCCAACTATGGAAAACTAGAAGTTCTCCAAAGGCTCAGCTCAGTTTCCTCTTTGTAATCTACATGCTGGCTAGCTAAGAGTCTTCCTCTTTGTAATCTAGGGGCTCCCTAGCTAAGAGCCATAGGGTGTCAGTTTCATACTCCCAGATCTGGGCTGTAGCAAAAAAGAAAGGAAATCTTGATGGTGATCAAAGCATGAGGTGGAAACTTGGTGAGTCTGGGTGGAGGGAAGGAAGGTGGCCATGGGCTGGATCTCAGCACGTACACATAGGTGCCAGGCTAGTTGACGTCCTTGTGAAGTTAGTTGAGGTTTGTGTTGAGTGTTGTTAGCCTTCTCACTCCTTGCTTATTTCCGCTTTATCAGATATTAAGTGATGCCATGCCCTATCTTTCATCCAGACTTGCAACTTTCTTTAACGCTAAGGTATAAATGACTGGTAACAATACAGAGAAGGGTAGGAACACACCCCGCGGTGTGGTGCCCCTCTTCCTTCACATGCCCTTAGCAGGCATGGTCAGAATCAGAAATCATATCTTCCTTTCCCACCAGTTTTGACTTCAAGATTTTTTTTTTTTTTTTGTTAATAAAACAGTGGTCTGGCGGTTACTACAAACTGAAAAGAGTTGCTAAGGACACTGAAACTCATTTACCGTCCTAGGGATGGAATGTCTTGTTTCGCAGTGACTCTTTATTTGCCATCATGAGAAACGCCAAAGGGGTGGATTCTAATATAATTTCAGGTGACAGATACTCATGAAGAGGACATTTGGCATGCAGAACATTTTTAGGGGCCTCGGCCATCCGGTATCTTACTCCATCTATGTATCATGTTTGGCAAATAGTCAATTCTCAATAAAAAGTTAGTTAGATAAACAAATACATGAGTTGATTCCTAGCGACATCATCAAAACATTCTCTTTCTTGGGGAAATGTGTCAGTGACTGTGAACTAGACCAGCTGCGGCACTCAAACAGAAATTAGACTCTTAATAGACGATGCGCAAGCATGGAACCCAGAGTTGGACGGGAATATTTCGTGCTCATTTGAAACTTGGCTCTGCCTGTGACTTCTCTGTCACAGATTTCGGGGTGGGAGAATGCTCCCCCAGGGAAAGCCGTGAGCGCTGACATGGAAACTGAATAGAACTTTGGCTAGGCTAGAAGTCATTGCTATTTTAGTCGCTTCCAGATGTCTGCTGTTGGAGTTTTAAGGGAAAGGGAAAGATGTGTGGAGTGTGGGGGGCCCGCGGGGTGGGAGGGGAGGGCTGTTTCAAGTCACCCTTCAATATGCTATGAAGATGGATTGGATAAAGCTTTTTAAAATTGTGTTCTTCAGTGGTGCCCCTTTTATTTACATGCTTGATCGCACATGTCGTAATAGGCAAACTGAAGAAACCTTTGTGAAATCATCAGGATTCCCCCCAAAACGAACCTTTTCACCTTTGGGTTGCCATCTAATATTTATGAAGTGCTAGCCATTGAATGGTGCACACACCAGATGAACCTAACAAGCATACCAGATGCTTGTTATCTATCTACTTTCTCCTTTCATGTTGTTTTGGAGGTGCCTTTTAATCCCGGTGCTGCCATTATGAACTAGAAAATGATGTCAGGTTGTAATGTTTAAGCACGTGGAGATGAGGCCCTCTGAAATCTTCAGAAGGGGTGTTCAGGTCCTTCTCGAGAGGTCCTGGCACCACCATGGATCAGTCCAGGGGGGTAGGTCAAAAGGCCCTGCTGGGTTGGTAGGGTTTCTCGTTTCTTTGTTTCACTTGGAAAGGTATGTCATTAGCATGATACAAGGGGTGGAAGGCAAAGCCTGGGAGAAGGAGTAGAGCTTATAGAGTTATGAAATATATGGATTTGAATCAGACAGACGCAGTTCAAGTTCAGACTGTCACTTGCTGGCTATGTGAGCGTGCACAAGTTACTTAAGCTCTCTAAAAATCAGTTTCTTCACCTGCAAAGTAGAAATAAGGCTATTGAGTCTTGCTGGGCGGGGGAATCATGGTAGATAACACCCCGACCTTGTTTAACCAGGTTGTGAGCTAACCAGAAATAAGACAAAACATTAGACAGATGGAGGTCAACATGCCACTTTTATTATTGTTAAAGCTGATATGAAAGAATGTGGCATCTTTCTATGGGCAAGTGAGCTTCACAGCCAGAACTTTCTATGCAGCCGCCCCAGCCCAGGACAAGATGCTCCCTCCAGGGGTAGGGCACAGTGTGTGCTGTCTCAGGAGGGGGAAGAGAGGTGGCCTGCATCATCCCCATTTCTTCTTCCATGCTCTGCTATCAGATAAGGTTCTCCTTCCCACGGACAGCATAAGGAAGCGGGGAGTACCTGGGAGTGTTACAGTTATGGGTCTTGCCCTCATGCAAGGCAGCACCAAGAGTGGAGGAAAACCCACTGCCCCTAACAGGAGCGACTTCAGAGCGTTCTTGTAAGGATTCTGTGAGATGAGAGAACACGTGTGGCAAATGCTAAATGCTCAACAAAATGTACTGATTGATGTTATTGCATTATCACCAAGCACGGGGATAGTGGCAAGGAAATGCGGTGAGGGTCGTTTGCAGGGAAAAATAGAGGAGTTTGGAAAATGATATGTGTTGTACTCATGGGGAAAAATATAAACACTTTAGGATATCTTTAAACCAGACAAGAGGCAAGTGCCTATACTTCCCAGGCTCTCTTATTGTTGCTCTGGGACAGGAAGACCAGCCTGAAGGTTTAGGACACAGTAGAAAGAGACTGGATTTCAAATAGCTGAGAGGAGGCAGAGTCCTTACTAGATGAATGTGAAACAAGAAGATGTCATTGAACTGGGTGAGGGAGATCCTTCCAATGATTATTCTCCTGGGATGATTCCTGGGTCTTGGGCAGTTGACCAATTACTCCCTATGTGGTTTCTTATTTGGGGCATGAGATTAGCCCATGTGCTTCCCCAGTCTGAGGTTTCTACAAGTTCTTTAGCCCCAGAATTTTCTTTGGGGTAGGATTTCTTTTTTCTTGAGCTGAAAAAAAAATGCAGACAAGGACAGGTGTGGTGTGGGGAAGCACTTCCATTTTTACCTTCGTCCCACTCATTCCATCCTGACCCTACTCAAAGCCCATGAGCTCTTCTGATTTTTTCTTTCTTTCTTCTGAGATTTTTCCTGCTAATTCATACACAGTATTAAAACATAAACTTGCTGCAAATTTCTAAAGCAATAATTCTTCCAGATCTCTGTTGGCCTCTGTTTTGAGCTAGGCATGATCTCCGTTTAAGGCAATTTTCTAAATTGCTTCTTTTAAATCTTCCTTCTGGGAATTAGCATCCAGGAGATTTTCTCCTCTTCCTCTTCCACCCTGCCTCCCCACTTTTTTAGTAGTGGGCCTTAAAGTCCCTGGCTGTGTATAAATGATGTTAAAGGTAGCCAATTGGGCTTTCTAAGACTCAAGGGTGACTCACTTGATCTCTAGAGGAAGCCTTGCATTGGCAAGTTATTACTGTCTCACTTCACAAAACACAGTAATTTCAAGTTATTGCCAGAGAGAGGAAGTCAGAAGGAAGCCAGGGCAGTGGAAATGTAGTAATATGGAAACATGCTTCAAAGCTGAGAGTGAAAAACAGTGAATTCGAGGAGAGAAAGACGAAGACCATGACAGAGGAAAGAGCATCAGAATATGCCAATGTTCCCCATATAAAGAGGGCTCCTCAGGAAGCTTTGGGACATGGTAATTCTAATTATCTGGCAGGTAATTTTAAGGAAAGAACACGTAATTGCACAATAAACATGCTTGCTCTGGGAGAATGCTCTAATGGTCTTGATGCGTACAAGGTTGTGCGGATTGGTTCCCATGACCTCTCACCTGCTCTTCACCTTTGCTCAATGTGAGCTGAGACACGGCCTCTGTGGTTGGAAGAGAATCAATCTAATGGTGGTTCAGGTGACTGGAGGTGGAAACTTGCCATGACACTTTGAGGAAGCATGTTTCAGATCCTCCCCAAATGTTAAGCAAGCTCTTAAAATTGTAAATCTAATGACACCATGAAGTGTGTTTTGATGTTTCAATCAATGGGCATTTCACGGTGATGGCTCCACAGCTTGGCAAGCCTATATTTGGTTAAAAATTTGGCCTATTTAGAAGTCCCTGAATTTTGAGTAAACCAAGAGGCTGCCAATCAATGTGGCAGCTGAAACGTTTGCTCTACGAAACAAAAACAATAGGACTCAACTCCCAAGTTTGAAAATTAATGCCATTTTGTTGTTTCTGTTAAAAGTCAATCTTTTTTCTTTGAGTTGCTCTTCATAGCATCTGCTAAGTGGCTATGTTGTTGGATTTTAGGGCTTGGCGCAATATTCTGTCCTCTTTTATGGCTATTATGGCAATAAACGAACAATTGGATGGATGAATTTCAGGCTGCCGCTCTCCTATTTTCTGGTGGGGATCATGTGCATTGGATACAGCTTTCTGGTTGTCCTTAAAGCGTAAGTTTCACTGGTCTCTTGGGAAGCGAGCCATGATATCTGGAATCAAATAGTATAATTAATTTAAGAATTGGATGTAATTTTTATTGTATTTTATATCTAGAGGATACTGAGTCTGTAAGAGATAAAATGTAGTTTTAATACCAACACTAGTGTTAGACTCTGACATTCCCCAAACAAAAGGGTTGAACACAAGCTCAGGCCTTTGGATCATCTCACTGGGTTGCACCCCTACTCTGTGTTTAAGCAGATTTTGAAGATACGCCTTTTTAAACTTCAAGGTATGAATCCATATTGCAAACAAGCCAGGGAAACAGCTGCTGGCCCCTCTTTTTTGTGTGCAGAGAAGTTTGCAAGTTGCAGAATCAGCTCAATAGGCAGAATCTGTTTTTCTCTGCTCATTAAAAAAACAAAACAGAACCAGAGTAGCCACTCAACCAAAAAAAAAAAAAAAAAAAAAATCAGCCGTATAAGATAGCGAAAACGAATGGCCCCCAGTGAGACCGTCACGATCAACTGCAGAATCATGGTCTGTCTGGAAGAACATTTATTAGAGCATGGAGAGCATGGAGAAGAATTTCATCAAAGAACTGATGAAGCTGCAGTTCATTTCCCCCCTGCCTGAAATGTATGGGTAACAACCCATTAAAGACAGGGCAGAAACCTGCATGTGGGGCTATGAGTAATCTCCATAATCCATGAGCCAATTCTCTGAGCTAGCTTAGAAGTCTTGAGAGACCTCCATCAGTGTCCTGACCCTTTTATTGGATCATGAACAAGGTGAATTGCCCTTTTGCTTCATCACAGGAAAGAACCTCTGCTTGAGGGTCCAGGTCATCCTCCCCTATCGATTCCTTCATCGTGCTCCTTGCTCAGCAGGGAGCGTGCTTCTCCCTCTCCCACTCCCCCTGCTTGTGCTCTCTCTCTGTCAAATAAATAAATAAAATCTTAAAAAAAAAAGAATGTAATACATGCTATTTAGTATAGTATGGCCCTTGCTGTAATTTTTTCCCCCTTGTGTAGTGGGCTTATCCTGTGAGCTTCGAGAGAGTTGCTTCCTACCTCCCTTTCAATCCCCTCCTTCTTCCTGACTTTCATTTTAGCAGAGGCTCCATTACAGTGACCCTGTTGGCTTAGGATTTATGGAGGCACTTATTCGAATAATTGAAAACTGTCACGTGCATCCATAAAATGACCGAATAACCGAGGCAAGAAGTCGAGGCAAAGGAATGAATGCAACAGTCGCTTTCTACAACCTCCCAGCAAAGCAAACGATACGTGGAGGTTGCTTCTCATAGACACAGTGGTTCAAATCTACAGCCTCCTTGAAAAAGGAAGAATTTCCATAGGTAGTTGCATTGTTTTTCCTTCTATGGGTAAGGGCTAGAGCTGTCCATGGAACATTTAATAGGTGTTAGGGCTGTCCCTGAACAGAAGTGTGCTACAATCCCAAGTTTGTCTTCAGGACCTTCCCTTCCTTCTTTTGGCACTCACCTCTCTTTCCAGTCGGTTCCCGCATGCTGGGTGTTCCTGACTTGCTTGCCCAGCTCACGCTCCCTTATCTGGGAGCCACAGCCCCCAATTTTGCCAGGGAAGCTCCATTCAAAACTTCAATCTGTCAAGCATCCATTTTGATTTGAAGCCCTACCCTTTTGCTCAGTGACAGCGCAGAAATGGATGGTGGCATATGAATCAAATAAGTAATTTTCTCCCTCAGTTAAACCAGTGGGAATCTTGGATTTCAACCCCTTTTGACCTACATAAAGGCATTTTATGTGATTCAACATATCTCATACAGTCCTAGCTTGGGCACCAGAGAGAAGTCGGAGAACCTAAGCCCTTGACCTACCTCCGTGGTTAACTCCTGGAAAGTGTCTAGCAAATCACTTCATAATGCTATCCCTTAGCTTCCCCATCTGTAAAAAGAGAATAATATTAACTACCTTGACCTTTTGCTCAGTTGTTGAGAAGGGGCAAATATGATGATACAGGCAAACACCTGATTTCAAAGGGTAAGATGATAGACTGAAATAAGGGATAATTATTTTTGGTGATTTTTCGTAACCCATTAACCCATTTAAAATATATAAACCTCTATAAGGAGTGGAGCTAATAGAAGGGGATGTAGGCCACGTCAGGGATGCCTGCCAATTTATAATCTCAGCTTTATGGCATGGTGCTTCTTTCCTTTTTGGTTCCGTATCACTATAATATTCAAAAAACCAAAACCTTATGGGATCATTTTATAATATGTATCATATGAAATTTAATTTTGCTTTTTATAGTGATAAGGGGAAAAGAAAGGAAGTGGAGTGAGTGGAATATAGATCTCAAGCCATTGAAATAAACTTTAAGTAAATGCATTTTAAGCTCTCCAAGCAAAAAAAAAAGTATGTGTGTGTGTGTATATATATATACACACACATATATATACATATATATACATACATATACATATATACATATATATACACATACATACATATATATACATATATACACATATATACATATACATATATATACATATACATATATATATACGCACACACATAATATTCAAATCACTGATTTATATATATTAAAATATATAGATTAGAATATATGTAACCCATTGGCATGAAGGTTGTATAAAAATTTTGCTTTTTGTTCGAGAGTTACAGAGTATGGAGAAATTTCATGCATTCAGTCTGTTCTTTGGGAAGAGATTCTTGAGGCGGGAGTTGGATCTATGCAGGATTTCCTGACCTGCCCTGGGTTAGTTCATTCCTAGCTGCAGGGGGATCTGGAAATAAGCTAAAGCTGCCTAGAACAGTTTAAGAGTGTACACATATTTTTTTTCCTGGGGAGGGACCCATTTGTTTTCATCAGAGTTTTAAAGAGAGCCTTATCCCGCAAAAGGTTAATAAACAAGTATATGATGCTAAGAAAAGTTTAGGAAAATAAATTAAAAATATGTATTTTTATAGGACCAGTTTAGTTGTTAAAATCATCAATGCGTCATAGTCTTTTAATCTTGAAAGGCCTGGAAAATGAACAGTTTAAAAAATTAAAACAAACCCAAAATTTAAAGATAAACTTCTATTTTCTGGTCATAAGAACAAACTTTGTTTGAAAATACATGCTTTCAGGATATTGCTTCTCCAGGCTACCTACAATTGTACTATTTTGCTACTCCCTACCCTCTCCCTTTCTTTGTGTTTCCGGGGGGGGGGGGCTGGATTAAACTCCGCATTTTTACAGGATGACCAAAAATATCGGGGATGATGGGGGTGGTGATGACAATACATTCAACTTCAGCTGGAAGGTATTCACAAGCTGGGACTACCTGATTGGCAATCCGGAAACAGCAGACAACAAATTCAACTCTATCACCATGAACTTTAAGGTAAACACATCAACTTCAAGATCTGTGCCTTTGGATTTCTAAGACTAAAATCAGAGCCATTCCATATGGTTTAGCTAGCGAAGTATCCTGACAGAAGAAAGATTAACTCATCATTTCTGCCTACCAGGATCCGGGCAGGGTTCTGATTGTGATTGGAAAATATCTGATGACCCACGACAGCACAATTTCTTCTCTAAATTTGGTAATAAAAATACCGCCATTGGTTTGAAACAGGAGACCATTAGTAATCAGAATTGGATAGTCTAAATAATAGAACAATGCTGACTATTTACAGGAATAAGCTAGCTCAATATTCAAAATGACTCTTAGGTATTATTTTGTAGCTTCAAAAAAAAAAAAAAAAGACTTTATCAGAAGAGAATTTAGAAAGAAGATTGTCCTAGTATTAGATCCATCAGAGTTTGTAAGAATTCTCCCTTCCTTCACTCGTTCTCAGTTGCTGCTGATATCCACCTGGTTTGCGGAATCCCAGATAGAGTATGCATTTTCATTCCTCATTGGATGTTTGCAAGAATATTTTCTGAGTGTGTGCTAGTTTTTGTAGCTCAGATACACTTTTTTTTTTTTCTGTTTTGCTTGAGTACAGGAAGCAATCATAGAGGAAAGAGCAGCCCAAGTGGAAGAAAACGTCCACTTGATCCGATTCCTGAGGTTTCTTGCTAACTTCTTCGTGTTTCTAACACTTGGCGGGAGTGGATACCTCATCTTCTGGGCTGTGAAGCGATCCCAGGAATTTGCACAGCAAGATCCTGACACCCTTGGGTGGTGGGAAAAGAATGAAGTTCGTCTCTGCATGCTTTCTGTGTGCTTAGAACCTGACATTTGAAATTGTGTGGGTTATGCTTCTATGATGCAATGTTAAATAAGGCCACGTTTTACCTATCTTCCCCCACGCTGCCCTGTCACACATTTTCCACTCTCTTCCAGTCTTATTTCCAGATCTTTCTACTGCCTGTCTGTTTTTCATTTTGTGCCTTTATGGTAAAGCTAGAGTTGAAAGATATTGGAACACATATATTCCAACCAGTATATTTAACAGATGTGGTTAATGAGTGTCAGGAGAGGGGGCGGTGTGTTCAGGTCACAGAATCGTGGAGAAGAGTGAGTTAAAACCTGGGAATCTTGATTTCAAGGCCCACACTCCTTCCATGACTCTATGTTTCTTTCTCTATAGATTCTGTGTCTGTCACTGAAAGATCCAGTTGTTGCCCGAATTCTTTGAAGCAGCAATGTTAGAGTCCTTGGTTCCTATGTTTATCTCACCAGAAACATTCAGATCACCTCCTCCACTGTTGGCAAGTCTGGGATTCTCTCTGTCTCTCCCTAGCAGCCTCACTGCACACTTTCCATCTTCTCCTCCCCTTGCCTTATTTCCTCCCCCTCCAAGAGAGAGTCAAATGAGGAAGGCCAGCTCTTTGCCTGGAATTAAATCGGATTGTGATATGTCTTCCGGATATGTGCCCACTGAGCAGGTCAGAGGAAGGAGGTCAGATATTGAGAATAAGGAAATTCAGATATTTAGAGTAAGGAAATCATTATGTGTCGTCACTAGGGCCTGTTCCCTTTCATAAAATGTTCTGGCGTACAATGTGGCATCATTTTAAACTTGGCCATTTTCAAGGTATGTAGAGATTGAGGCTGTGGGAAGTGTAGACTGACCACAATGAAACTTGTGCAGAGCCTCGTAGACCAAAGAGATTCAGAAAGTTCATATAAGCGTAGAATTTTCTAGAAATATCTTGGACAAAATATAACCTGTTTACAACAAAAAGCTCCAAACGAAAACATTCCAGGTATTTCAGAAGTGGTAATACTGGAAATGGGAGACCATACATTTAAGAGGCTATACAGGACAGACATTTCATAGAAACCTATAAAAAGTCATTAGGTAGAGGGATTTTATTTATTTAAAGCAGAGGAGAACCTCAAAGCATTTATCAAATCTTTTGCCAAAGTTTCTCCTTATAGTTGTGATAATTGCTATAGTAGTCAAAATTACCATGCCACTTTTGTCCATGGTTCATATTGATCATATTTTTGTATAAATGAACCAGAGTAAAGGGTGGGGAGTTGATTTTCATTAGGTAGAAGAGTCACTCTGTGTAAGGTCTGCTTAACACCATTTTAGGGGACCCTGAGTCCTAAGGGCCAACAAAGGTAGTAATAGGGATTCATGAATAACTTCATACATTTGATGAAACAGAATTTAAATTTACCTTATAAAAGATCGCACAGGATCTGCCAAGTTTTTACCTTAGGCTGAAATTATATCGTGCTGATTTTATATTATGCCATGCTGATTTTTATCTCCTCTTGGTTATGCTCATATAATGGTCTTAATAAAAATGGGAAAAACCATACTGACAATTATTTTCTCAATACAGTCTGGTAGTTATAATCATTCAAAACATGGAATCAAGAAATGGCAATAGGAAATGTTTAGTGGTGACAGTTTGAACCAGGTATTTAGGAAAGGCCCTTGCCAGGGCTATACCCAAAATCTTTTTCCATTTAAGGAGGCTTTTTCCCCATCACAAAAGTAGTACATGCACTGGATTCTTTTCCCCGATTTAATTTAGCCTAATATTATAATTATAAAGGTGCCAGACAGGAAATATGGACCATACATTTGCTACTTTTCATATTCTCTCTTTCCCTCCCTTCCCCCCCCCCCAGTGGCATTATAAACCAGTTCTTCTTTCCTGGAACTTTCCTACCTTGGCTTTGATAACATCATGCCTGTGTTCTCCCTTTTGTTTCTCTGAATGTTCTGTTTTCTTTGATAAACCCATTCCTTTTTTTTTTTTTTGCCCCTAATAGGGTGTATCGCCCAGAATTCAGTATTTAGTCCTGAGCCCATCTCAAGGACTCATTTATTCCAACTGATTGAACTAGCCCGTATGCTGGTAATTGTCAAATTAGTATTTCCAGTTTGGACCTCATTCCTCAAGCAGATCATTTTCCCTTTCCTTTGGAAATCTTGTTGCAAAGTGTATCACCATATCAGAATCAGTTCCCATGTAGTACAATATGTGTTCTTTGGATAGAGAGTGATGTAAATTACTTCCCTCATTATACTAGGAAACAGACTCTTATTACTGGCACCTACATAAGCTCATACCCAAGCACACCTGTAGGTAGGGAGTTGAATATTTTCTTTGTTGTCTTATTAAGATCAAAATTTAAAAGTGCATAAGATTATCTTCTTTAGTCTTATAAAAGATGAAGGAAATCTAGCTGAAATCTTGCAAAATCCTGGAAGAAAGCAATTATTTTTTAAATACCATTAACTTAGGTAATTCCTTGTGTCTCCCCTATAGATGAACATGGTCATGTCCCTTCTGGGGATGTTCTGTCCAACACTGTTTGACTTATTTGCTGAATTGGAAGACTACCATCCCCTCATTGCTCTGAAATGGCTACTGGGACGCATTTTTGCTCTACTTTTAGGCAACTTGTATGTATTTATTCTTGCCTTGATGGATGAGATTAACAACAAGGTAAGTCTTGTATCTGGATTGTTCTTGGCATCAGTGTGTTGTTACATTCCCAGTCTCCAGATTGCTGGAAATGCCTCTGAAATCTGTGCTGTCTCCATCTTTGCTTCCATCACTTTGCATCCTAGATTGAAGAGGAGAAGCTGGTAAAGGCCAATATTACCCTCTGGGAAGCCAACATGATCAAGGCCTACAATGCATCACTCACGGGAAATAGCACTGGGCCACCTTTTTTTGTGCACCCTGCAGATGTACCTCGAGGACCCTGCTGGGAAACAATGGTGGGGCAGGTAATGTCACCAACAGAAGTGTATGACAATAAATGGATTAAACAAGAGCAGAATCAATTATGTCTTTCATAAGTGTGGCCTATTTTTTTTTATTGCTTCATAAAAAATACCAAAGATTTATTGAAGGCTTACTATGGTGCTGGCTATGAATTTCATATATAGTTTCTCATGCAGTCCTCACTCCATCTATTGACGTAAGTACTACTTTTACACGTTTTTTTACAGTTGCGTATAAAGAAAGGATATTTTTAAATGATGTGAGGAGAGGTTCATCTTCTATTTGTGTTATAATAAAGCACCTAGATTTAGATACAGGCTCCAGTGAATATTTAAATGGAACTCTACCTATTACTACCAGTTTTCCATTAAAAAATAGATTCTTTGGGGAGCACACACTAATACTAATTTCAGCAATGTCCATTTTTGTCAAATAATTGTCCCTTAGGTGTTAAAGGAAATACTATTTTAGGTTAGTTGTTTTCATGATGATTATGTAAATGGACCCAGTCCAAGGCTACTAGCATTTTACCAGAGAAAAGAGAGAATGTTTCGTATGGCTTTCTGTCCAATAAAGGAAACCAAATAAGGAAAAACAACAATAAACTATTTCACATCTCTTATTTCTTTTTTTTGTTTTTTTTTGTTTTTATTTATTTATTTGACAGAGAGAGAGATAGTGAGAGAAGGAACACAGCAGGGGGAGTGGGAGAGGGAGAAGCAGGCTTCCCGCAGAGCAGGGAGCCCGATGCGGGGCTCGATCCCAGCACCCTGGGATCATGACCTGAGCCGAAGGCAGACACTTAACGACTGAGCCACCCAGGCGCCCCTCACATCTCTTATTTCTATACAGATCCAATTTTTATTTTGAAAAGCCTTTAATTTGATCTCATTAAAATTGACATTGCTACTGTGCATTTCATAAACCGATTTTGGACTTGGGTTCATCGATGAGGACCAGATACCTTTAAATATGTCATCATGCATCTGCCTGCCTATTGGACAACATTCAGTCTCAGCAGTAATGTGGTCTTATGGAATTATTTGAATAATTTTTTGCTGTGTACTTATTTTTTATAATCTAAAGGGAAAAATTGAAAGTTAGTGTTAGTCTTATAAAACTGATGCAGTGTAAAAATGTGGGTATCAATAGATGCCCTCATGCTCAATTAGATGCTCATCAGACTTAAGCCAATCAACTGTGATTTTAATTGTGGGAAAAAAATAAGAACAACGTATGTGATGCTAGACACATGTCCAAAAAGTATGGTATGATTAAGGATTTTGTTTTACTTTATTTTTATGCTTTCAGGGGCCAGATAAGCATCTCCCTTTCCAGTTACGTATTATTAAATACTCAATTTTCAGACAAGCACATTCCATATATGTTTATAGAACATATTATATATGAAATAATAAATGAAATGAAAATAAATGAAGTCTGCCTTTACTTAGGAGAGAGGTATGGTAGATGGAGTAATGGCCCTTCAAAGATGTCCGTGCCTAATCTCTGGAATCCCTCTGACTTTGTTACCTTACATGGTAACATGGACTTTGCTGATGGGATTAAGTGAAGGAAAATTATCCTGGATTATGTGGATGGACCTAATGAAATCACAAGTAGGGACAAAAGAGTCAAAGTCAGAAAAACCAGACGTGACAGTGGAACTGGCTTGGAGAGATGTGCTTTATAGATGGACAAAGAGGGGCTATGAGCCCAGGAGCGCCGGCAGCCTCTAGACGCTGAACAAGGTGGGGACCCAGATTCCTCCCTGATGCCTACACCTTGATTTTAGACTTCTGACCTCCAGAACTGTAAGAAAATAAAGTCGTGTTGTTATAAGCCCCGAAGTTTGTGGTAATTTGTGACAGCAGGTACAGGAAGTGAATGCACAGGAGTCCACTGGTTTCTGGGTTTCAAGGGTCCTTCCTTGAAGTGAAGTCTGGTCACCGTGCTTCACACAAGTCTTACCACATCTAGGCTGCTCCTTGAGTCTTCAGCTAAAGTGGAAAGAAATGAAAAATTGGGGAGAAAAGGATTTTTTTTCACAAGCTCAGGAAGTTTGAGGTGTTCTCTTCTGTATGTCCTAGAATGCAGACTGGCAGGTGGGGTATGACACCTACCCTTTAACAGTCTTGACGGAATGGACTGTCAAGGATGAGATTGACGCTGCTCACTTCTGGGGAAGAGAAAGTGATTAATTAGGAACGCCAGTGCAATTGAGGAGGATACTTGTGTCTCCGAATATGCAGAAGCTTCTGTGTTGGTCCCACACATACTGGCTTAAAATAAAGGAAAAATCACTTATTTAATTCTTCTTGAGACCTGCTGCTTGTCTTGTCCTTAAAAAAAAAAATATCCCATCTTTGGTGCTTTTCCTTGCTTCATCATCTCTCCTTACTGCCCCCTTCTCTTTCACTTTCCTTTCCCTAAGGGGGCATTCAGCGCTTGTGGGAAAGTCTGCAGAAGCTGACCCAGAGGTTGTGGTTCTAACAGAATATAGATGAGGGAGGTAGAGTCCATGGGGACAAAGAGAACACAGGGGACATAAAAACCCTGAGTACTGGAAAAGTCTTGTCTTTAAGAGATCAATATCTATATCCATGCACCTAGAAACACTTTGTTTACCCATCTAAAAAAGAAATGACTCCAGGGGCGCCTGGGTGGCTCAGTCAGTTAAGGGTCTGACTCTTGATTTCAGCTCAGGTCATGATCTCTTGGTGGTGAGATCCAGCCCTGAGTCAGGCTCTGCACTCAGGACCGAGTCTGCTTGAGATCCTCTCTCTCTCACCCTTGGCCCTTCCCCTGCTCATGCACGCGTGCTCTCTCTCTCTCTAAAATAAAATAAAGTCTTTTTTTAAAAAAAGTGACTCCGGGAGAAACAGTAAAGGCATCTGATTTGCATGTCATCTTGGGGACACACCCCAAACACTCATTCATTGTTCCGTAAGAACATTCCTGAAGTTTCCTCTTGTCCTCCCTCTGCTTTGTTTCCTCAAGGATGATATAAGACTCAAACCTCTCTTTGATCTGAATAAAGGATAATTTGGTGGCTCCTTTATCCCTCCAGGGAATCTCAAGATGTAGCTCTTAGGCAGCAAAGCCACCCTTGGGAGATTGCTATTTAAAGCTATATACTGAGGTCTGCATTTTGGGGAAGGGGAAAGCAGCCAACTGAACAGAACAACAGTGGCTAACATTTATTGAATGCCTATAATGTGCCCAGCGCTGTTTCCTTGAATTTTTAAATTACCCTTTGAGATAAGTTATATAACTATCTCTATTTTATAGATGAGGAGGCTGTGACCTGAAAAGCTACAAAAATTTTCTCAAGCTCTTGAAGTCAATGACAGGAGCCCAAATGTAACCCATGCATCCTTGTCCATAGCGCTGAATTGTCCCTAGAAATATAATCAGCATCAACACCTACTCTCTAAACTCCTGCCATGGGACATCTAGAGTCTGTGGTCCTTTGTGATGCCCCTTGACTGTCGTGTTCCTGTTACCTGCTAATGACTTTTATGTTTACTGATCAAAGCTGCCCAGGCATTTAATAACTAACTGTAATGAGTGGAAAGTTGTGAGGTGTGGGGCATGGTGCTCAACAGGGGGCTTGTGTGGAGACTGTGCTCCCATCCTGACTAGCATGCTAGGAACTGGGATTGGTGCCCCTGAGGTGGGCTGGGCCACTGCTGGGGGATTCTCTTTCTTATGAAGCATTGTGTTCTTCCTATGGTTTGTGAATAAATCTTCTTATGTTTCCGTATAATGCTTCAATCCTCTTCTGGTATTTTATATGACAGACCACTGCTTAGGAAAAAATAGGATTTCAACCACTGGGATGAGAATGTTTAGGAAGATGAGGGGGACTTTAAAACCTTACCTTCTGACAAGGTAGTGGATGCCAAAAAATATTCCTCATCGCCTCCTTCTAATTGATACTAGTTATTAGAATCTGAACTCAAGTTGCCTGGGCAATGAAAAAGAGAATAAGAACAGGAAGAGAAAAGTTATGGCCAGAAATAACTGCAGGAATTTACTATCATTCAACCATTCATTCCATATTTATTGAGTGCAAGCTGAGTGGCAGGCATCATGTTGGATACTAGAGGTCCAATGGGCACAAAGGTGGGCTAGTTCCTTGCTCTTGTGAAAACTACAATTTCTTGGGTGGGGGGGCGGAACAAAGCCATTAATTAAGTCATTATGCAAAATTTGCAAATTTACAATGATAGCCAAGCACTACAAGAATGAAATACATGGAATCTGAGAATTTTTTATGGGAAAGCTTGCCCTTGTCAGTGAGGTGAGTGAAACTTTCCTAAACCAGTGATGCCGTAGTGGTGTGTATTCGTTGGTATAAACTGAGTCAAGAGGTGAAGTAACAATGATTGAGTGGAGTGAAGACCCAGGCAAAGGCCCTGTGGCCTGAGGAAGTATGGAGATTGAGGGTCTGAATGAAAGCCGGTGGGGCTGGAGTGAAGAAGAGGGATGAGCAATACCAGAAGAATATGGGGAGCTAGACAGGAGCCGGATTATATAGAAACTTTCAGATTATGCAGGAACCTCTCACTCTCTTGGCCCACCTTTTACTCCAGCTGTTCTGCATGCAGCTGTTAACCTGATAGCATCTCAACAGCTGTATGCATATTCTCTTTACCTTCAAAGTTTCTCTGCTGTCATCAAGTGGGGTGTTAATACCGCATGGGGACATCCTTGGCTAATGGGAGTGGTTGTTGGTGGATCAGTATGTCCCTCTTCTGTCACTGGCATGGACAATTCTGAGGCTTATTCTATACAGCTTCTAGGCTTCCAAGTGGGGTCCCCAGAAGGATAAGACTCACTTGCCTCAGGAGTGACAGATTTTAGCATGCTCTTGGGCAAAAGCTTTCCTTCCTTCTGTTTCATTCTTCCCAACCTCCACTCCTGTTCTTTGATACCATTTCCCAAAATACGCTGCCAGCCTACAAGCCCTTGTCACAGGCACGACAGTTGGTGAAAACTAATGCTGAGTTTTTAAATTTGTATTTTTAAGGTTTTACTATAATAATTTTTGCTTGGCTCATGTGTATATTTTAGTTAACTACTATTTATAGCAGATTATATTTGTAATAGTCATGGTTATTTTTGAAGAATAAAGTATGTTGATGTTAAAAGAAATCTGAGATAAATTATATTTCATATGGTACTTGGACGTATCAAGAATCATGGAGGTGGTAGACGATGATCTCGCGTTCAGGAAGCATTGCTCTGAAGTACAAGGCTGGAAACTAATCTAAAGACAGCTAGTCAAATGGCCCTTTGCCCCATGAGAAAATTCTTTCTCACTAGTTATTTTAGAGGGGAGATTATATATGTAGCTGGAAATAGAAACCGAAAGACTTCAGAAATTATAGAAGAACACTAGTATTTCTGGCAAAATATGTATTATGAGATATCCAGTGTCTTCAGTCTTAGGACATAAATTATTGAGAAGGAAAAGAAAAGGAGGAGCAGAGGAGAACTATCACAACAAACATTTATAATTATGTGTCTATTCTAATATTTATCAATTATTGTCGAAGGGGTTCCACGAGGAAATAGTGAACTTTCCCTCTAATCCACAGCACACACCCTTTTGCACATAAATTTAAGTCCACACCACTGAGGTAACCAGTTTCTGGTTTTCCAGAACTTTCTATGTCTATACATATACATATAGGCATATATACATGGGAATTTTTGTTAACAAATGAGTTCATACAACATATCCTATTTTGTAAATTTTTGTTAACAAATGAGTTCATACCACATATCCTATTTTGTAAACTTTTTAAAGTTTACTGAGGTATGATTCATCCACCACACATTCCACCCATTTACAGTATTCAATTCAATGGTTTCTAGTGTATGTTCACATAGTTGTGCATCTATAACCACAATTGCACTCTTTTTCTTTCAAGAGCTCATGATATTCCATTGTGAGGACACACTGTTCTATTTCATTAATCTCCTGAGCATATTTGAATTGTTTCCAATCTTTATCTGGAAGAAGTCCTACTTTAACAATCACACGTATAGATCTGTGCACTTGTGTTCATACTTTTGTGGGACACCTTTCCACAAGTGGATTTCCTTGATCATATTCTACTCACTTTAAAATGTGATGGATTTCCACAAATTTCCCACCAAGTGTTGTTGGGGGTCGACATTCCCCCATCAGTTTATGGTAGTGTTTACTTCACCACACTCACCAATAAGGAGAAGCCTGGATTTTTAAAGATTTATCTTTCTGTGAGGCAACGACTCTTTGTTTTAATTTGCACTTTTGTGTGTGGGGTTTCAATGTTTTTCAACATTTTAATTGACTGCATAGTTCCTTCTGTGAATTTCTTATTTGTGCCATTTGCCAGCTTCTTTCCTTATTGGATTGCCCATCTATTGTGAGGCTGATTTATAAACATTTCTAATGTGTTAGAAAAACTAATCCTGTATCACGGATGCTGCCAGGACTTTTCGAAGTTCATCTTTTAACTTCATAAACATTGCTGTTTGCCAGATTAAAGTTTTAAACATATGTGTGGTCAATGTATCCCTGGTTTTGTTTCTTGTGTTATGCCTATAAAAGTTTCCCGGTAAGAAGACTTTTGATACAGTGGTTTTGGAAGTGGAGATAATTACTTTTGACTAATAAAATAAGGGTGAAACATTTTTCACTTGCTAGATATGCCTCACTATTTTTTCACTATTAATGGCAGTTTCTAAGCTAATACCATGCAGAAGCATAACAAACTTGATGCCGACACTAGGGCCCTTTGAAGGGAGAGATGCTCGTTTTTAATCTGGATAATATCTCGACAGGAATTTGTGCGGCTGACCGTTTCTGATGTTCTGACCACTTATGTCACAATCCTCATTGGAGACTTTCTCCGGGCATGTTTTGTGAGGTTTTGCAATTATTGCTGGTGCTGGGATTTGGAATATGGATATGTAAGTATGATGCTCATCTTTCCTCCTGTCAGATTATTCCTTTGTGGTTTATCACTTGCACACACTATGCCAGAAGAAGAATTTAGGAGTAGGACCACCTGTTAGTGTTAATAAGTGAAGACCAGTGAGTACAGTTTTAATTCAGAAGGGTGTAAGACTTGAGTGTCATGGTTTATGATATTCTAGTAAAGTGAGCACAGGATGGTTAAAGCAGTGGACCTCAACCTGTCCATGAATATGGTGAACTCAGTCTGGGACCCATAGTCATGAAGCTTGCTGACATTTCCAGAAGCTGGACAAGATGGGTAGTATCAACTGCACATTCTATTAATTCCTTTGAATTCTACTAAACAGACTCCTGGACAGTTACTGTGCAGTGCAATGGATGATAAGTGGATCCAGTAAATATGGTGCTCGTTTCATAAAGCTCCCAGGCTAATAAGAGCTCAGCAGAGACACAGCAGGGAGCTGTGGAAGTTTTGAGGCAAGCCCAGGGTGCTGATAGGTGTCTGGCAAGTCGTGGACCTGAACTCTGGCAAGTTGACATCCTTCCGGCACCACAGCAAGAACCCAGGTTTCTCTGAGCCCCACTGATGTTGACTCCATTCCCAGTTCACCCTCTGCATGCAACCCCCGGTTCCCCCCCGCAACCCCCCAAAGTTTAAGGGAGGCAACAGAGCACACACCACTCTGTGGTCTTCCACATTGCCAGGTCCCTCTTTTGCAACTGTAACAGTCATCTTGGGAACTATGACTGTAGTTGGGTTGTAGTACTGGGTTGATTGTAATCATGTGCTTAAAATCCTCCAGTGGTTAATAAGTACTTAGAATGAATTCCAAATCTCTTTCTAAGGCCTTCGATATCTTATGGGATCTGGGTTTTTTTTTCTCTTTCTTTCTTTCTGAGCTCATCTTCTACCACTTTTGTTCTTGCTTTGTAAAATCCATAAATGGTGGAATTCTTTCTTATGCTCAAACACAAGATGACCCTTGCATTGGCTCTAGCTGTTTTTCCCTGTAGGGGTACAGATTCCTAGAATTTGGCATGGCTGATGCCTTCTTTGTCATTAAGGACTCTGCTAATATGTCACTACCTTTGAGCTCTTCTCTGACCTTCCCATCTAATATAGCCTACCAGGATCTCTCCTTCAACACCCTGCTTGATTTTCTTCATATGATGTATAACTAGCTGACATTTCCTTTTAAAAACATGCTTATAATCTATCTCCCTCTGTTAGAATGAAAGACCTATGAAAAGAAAAGCCTTGACCCCTATACTTGTCACATGGTGGGCATTATGTGTTGACTGTCTGCTTCTGTGTTAAACCTCTACATTCTAGCACCATCCAGGCAACGCCATCTATTGACGGAATTCTGCCTGCTTCCAGGGATGTGCCCACGGAGTCCGTCCTGGTTTAGTAATCTCAAGCCAATGACGTTTCTCTCCTCTCTCAGGAAATGGTATCCTTTATTGCCGACCTCTCCCCAGCCCCATGCCCTCTAGTCTCTGGACAAGTCCTATGCTCAGAACAGTTTTCAAGACCCCAGGCTGGATCCTCAGCCTGGCTATCTGACTTGGAGATCGTACCTTTGATTAGGTCATCTCTGTCATCCTCACTGAAAGTGCCCGTGGGACGAGCCAAAAGTGGTTAGATAATGCTCTTTGGTGAGCACCAGTGAGGTAATGCTATGAATCCAGGATGCTCTTGCACTGCTTTCCCACTCCCTGCTATGAGGTATTCAGCTGGCTGGGTTTCATTTCTATTTTCCTTGTCTGATTCAGCTCTTCTGAGGCAGACATAAAAATTGCCATTTCTTTCTGAGGCCCTTGCCTGGCTTATGCTTGCCTTTTATCCCTTACTGCTCTCTTCCTAAGTGCTAGAAAATTTTGCTTCAAATATGAAGTCAATAAAACATGACCTGGATGCATAATAGCTATAATTAAATGACTGTCATTTATTATTTATTGAGTGCTGACAGTGCTCTTGGGTTAGTACAAAGTACAGGGGAAAAAAAAGACAAGTTCCTGTTTTAGGTCACAGAGAATTTTCTTCCATGTTACTTTTGGAAGGCTTTGCAGAAAGTATCCCAGCATCAAAACAAATTTTAAACAGTAAAGGGTGGATGGTGGATCTTTGATGCAGATCCTATTATCATTGGCCCATCCAGTAAATAGCTGACACAGCTGAGTGTCTACTAAGTGTAAATCAGTAAGAGCAAAGCTCTGTGCTGGGTGATAAGGGGATACAGAGATGTAAAAATGTCCACCTAAGGAGAGATTGCAAACTTGGGCTTGCTGCCTAGATTCAGCTTGCTGATATATTTTTCTTTCTTTGCAGAGTGTTTTCTTTTGTTTGTTTGTTTTTATTTTTGTTTTTTTTTAATGAGCTCATATTTTAAAACTAGAATTTTTACATTTTACAAAATAGGGATTTCTTGCTTTTCTTGGCATATTGGAAAGGCTGGCAACATTCAATCCGTATTCCCATTCGGGAGAAATTGGCTGGAGTGAGAAACCACTGCCCTGTACAGATGGAATATTCATCCACTAGTTCCTCACACTCCTTACTGCCCTTTAATCCTGCAAGCTCTCTCCTTATCAATACAGAGCACAAAATGTAAATGCCATAGGAGAAACCATGGCTACATGACTTTGGGGGTGGAGGGAGGGAAGAAAAAAAGGGAGGGAGGGAGAGGGAAGAAGAAAGACACAAATAAAGAGAGAGATAGATCAGAAATGCCAAGACCCAAAGACATGTTGGAGGAAGAAGCACTTGAGCCAGTCTTGGGAAAGGATCAAAATTTCAAAGATCCAGTGGAAGCAAGGATTCTTGGTGGAGGGACCAACATAAGACAGGGCCCAGCAGGTATGGGCAAAGTGTGGGCAGGCCTCCATGCAGAAATCTCAGCTGGGGCTGTCCCAGAGGAGAAAAGGCTGATGAGAATGTTTCTCTGATATTCTCCTGGACATCCTAATTGAAAATATGAATCCTGGAAATACCTGTCATGAAGTAAAGGAGAACCTGAGATGGGCAGAGAAGATACTTTTGAGATGCCTTTCAGAAATCAAAAAGAAGGGGCGCCTGGGTGGCTCAGTCGTTAAGCGTCTGCCTTCAGCTCAGGTCATGATCCCAGGGTCCTGGGATCAAGCCCCGCATCGGGCTCCTGCTTGGCAGGAAAACTGCTTCTCCCTCTCCCACTCCCCCTGCTTATGTTCCTCTCTCGCTGTGTCTCTCTCTGTCAGATAAATAAATAAAATCTTAAAAAAAAATAAATTAATGAAAAAAAAAGAAATAAAAAAGAAGGAGTACCTGGATGGCTCAGTTGGTTAAGGGGCTGCCTTGGGCTCAGGTCATGATCCCAGCATCCTGGGATCAAGCCCCTCATCCGGCTCCGTGCTCAGCAGGGAGTCTGCTTCTCCCTCTCCCTCTGCCTGACTGTCTGCCTACTTGTGATCTCTCTCTCTCTCTGTCAAATAAATAAATAAAATCTTAAAAAAAAAAAAAGAAATCAAAAAGAAAAATGTGTCCATTTCCACCACCAAAAAAAATTTTTTTCTGAGTTCCCAAAATAATACTAGCTCATTATAAAAAATCCAGAAAATCCAGTGTAAGTTCAATATGAAAATAAAAATCGCAGGTAATCTCACCATAATGGCATTACTTATTTGGATTATTTGAATTGGATCGTATTAGTGTTTATTTATATGTAAATAAACAAGTACAATAGATTTTTATATAATATTATAGATTTTTATAAATATACCTTTTTAAAAAATTTTTTATTAAAAAGTATATATTTAATGACTGGTTACCTGCTTTTTTCACCTGTGACCATTTCCCTAGGTTAACTATTCTTTTTTTTTAATAATTTATTTTATTTTTTAAAGATTTTATTTGTTTATTTGAGAGAGAGAGAGAAAGAGCAAGAACAGGGGGAGGGATAGAGGGAGAGGGATAAGCAGACTCCCCACTGAGTAAGGAGCCCGACGCGGGGCTTGATCCCAGGACCCTGGGACCATGACCTGAGCCAAAAGCAGATGCTTAACCAACTGAGCCACCCAGGCGCCCGGTTAACTGTTCTTTTATGACAGTTTTAAATGACAGTGTGATATTCTATAAATGAATGAACTATAATTTAATTTTTATTGGCTGTCAGTAAAACTTTACCTAATTTTTAATTATTATAATAAATATTGTGGTTACATTTATTTATATCCATGTAGTTAAATATCTTCACAGATAAGTTATAGTGGCATGCACAGATTATTTCCTTATGAGAAATTTCCCTAAGTTGAATTTCTCATTCCTAGAGAACATGCCTTTTTAAAAAAATCCATTCACTTTTCTTACAACAGCTTCTGTAAAAACTGAACTCTGCAGACTCTAGCATCAGATTTAGCGATCCACAGAATATTAATGTTGGGTGGAATTTTGACATAATCAATCATGCATCCTTTATTTCACATCTGAAAAATTGAGGGTTCGTGAATTGAAGTGAGTTACCTCAGTTTGTGTAGCCAGGGAATAAACAAGGGCAATGAAGTGTCCTTCTGGACACAGCCATTATGTTAAATATGCTGAATTATATACTGGTTGTATCAGAGTACATTCCGTTAAAAGTGACCCTGTAGATTTTCCAGCTATAAATTTATGGCTAAAGTGTTATCACAACAAACCTATAAAGATGGACTGCAGTGAGGAAATTACTGGCTAGGAGCAGGCTGTTAGACCATGTAATGTAAGTTAATCTTTCCTAAGGCTTCTCCAAGCATAGCAGACAGTTCTCAATGTTTCTGAAGTGTTCACTGACTCATCGGGAGTGGAATGGTTTCTCCCAGGAGCGATTTTAACCATCCAGATTTAACATAACTGCCCTAAAACCTCTTGTAAAATCGGGGTTTCCCGCTGTAGCTCAACACAGAATGCCTTTCCTTTCAGCTTAATTTGTGTTGACAATATCTTTGTCATTTATCAACAAAATAGGTAACCGATACCTAA